CATTCATGCAATATACATTTTGAGTTCCAGGCTCTGTCCTGGGGCTGCTGGGTTACTTAGGACCCGGCTCCTATCTATAACTGGCTAATCAGCTTCTGACCCTTCTGCCATCCCTGCCCACTCCCTCTCAGAACAGTCACCCAAGCTGTTTTTCCCATTTATTTCCTCCCATAGAAATCCATGCAAGTCCTAGTGATTCTCTGCAGCTTCCTCTGGGCCACCCTAGTGCCCAGAAATCCCTCCCTCCCCTGAATCCCCAAAGCACAAGAATTCTTGGCTCACTACTGCTGATTATTGCACAGAGCTCATCTGGAGGTTACCAGTACATGTGTCCTGCTGGATATAGTCCACATTTTAAAAAAATATCCACCTAACTGGAGCTTGAGACTTATGCTTCTTTGTGACTCACTTTGCCTGGAATAAAATAGAGTAAATAAGCCAGCTAGATATTGTTAAGTTTCTAGAGGCCCAATGGTCTGGTCAGGGCCTAAAAGTCACACATCTGGTTTCTCCCAGGAGATGCAGAGAGAAGCCCTGGGTTTGAAGTTGGAACACCTGGGTTCAGGTTCTGTGCAGCAGAGAATTTCTTCCTGAAAAGACAGTCCTTCCTACCTGATCTAACTTCATAGTGTTGTGGAAGGAAATAAATCATGAGTCGATAAGAAAGCACCTTGGCCCATGTGTGGTACCACAGGGAAGCAAATTTGCCAGCTCTGCAGCTGCTCTGTGTGTAGAGGAACCTGCCCCCAAGTCAGACGGCGCAAGGGACCTGCTCCCCATCAGCCTAGGTTGTAATAACTAATTTCATCAAGTTACATTGCAGGCATTAAACCATGGACAATAAAATTCCTAATGATGAATACAACCAACTTTGAGTGCAAATTACACATCAGATATTTTACCTCCATTGTCTCCTTTAATCTGCACTTCAGCTCTGTGAACACTGATCATAATATCCCCATTTTACAGGTGGGGAACTGGAAGCTCAGACAGGCAAAGGGAATTGGCAGCATAGCCACGGCCAGAGCTGGAATTAAAACCCCAGTCTGTCTGGAACAAGGGCAATGAGCTTTGTACTTTGCTCTGGCCTGATGCTCTCACAGGGACAGAAAGAAACTGCCCACCGCAAGCATGAGATCACATACTGGTTAGAACGTGGAGCTCTGGTGCCCGCAGCCTGGGTTCAAATCCTGGCATTGCCACTCCCAGCTCTGAGACTTGGGGGGAGTGGCTTCAACTCTACCCTGGAGCCCCCTCTAAATATGAGATGATACCGTTGTTACGCAGCTCCTAGGGCTGCTTTGAGAACCCTACCTATACACATTCTTCTACAACCCACACATAACATGTACAGCCCACATTCAGTGTCAGGTACACAGAAAGTGCTATTTGATGTTCATTCTCCTCTTCATTGTTGTGTCTGTGCGGGGCTGCAAGGACTTTGCAGGAATTAACTCCTCGATTCCACACAGTGCCTGATGGATGACGAACTCACTGGGCACCTCTTTACTGGGCTTCCCATTCTTCCCCTTTCCCCGTGAGGCAGACACACTGCAGATGAAGATCCACGTTCCAGGGAGGGGCTGAGAAGTGTAAGCGGTGCCAGGAGGGGGGTGGAGTCCACCCAGAGGACCCTCTGAGGCACGGATGCCCCAGGGCAGGGCTGCCAGACCTCCTGCTTGTCCAGGGAGCTGCCCACCCTACTCCTTGTTGCTTTGCTTACTGGAGCTGCTCTGGGGAGGCCACAGGAGGGATTCCTCCTGCGAAATGCCCAAGGGTCCATTTCAACAAGGGCAGCTGTGTGTGTGTGTTTGTGTGTATGTGTGTATGTGTATTTGTATGGATGTGTCTGAGTGTATGAGTCTATCTGTAGGTGTCTGTGTGTGTCTGTGTGTGTATATCTTTGAATATGTATCTATGACTGTGTGTGTGTCTTGGTGACTGTGTGTCTGTGTGTGTCTTTCTGTGCTTATGGAAGTGTGTATGTGTGTAGGTGTATATTTCTTTCTGTAGCTGGATGTTTCTGTGACTGTGTCTTTGTAAGTGTGGGTCTCCCTGTGTCCATGAGTGTATGCTTGTGTTTTTTTAATGTGATCATGTCTGTGTGTATAAGTGTGTATCTCTGTGTGAGTATGTCTCTATGACTGTGTGTTTACATCTGTGGCAGTGTTTATGTATGTAAGTGTATTTTTCTGTCTGTAGCTCTGTGTGTAAGCATGTGTACATGTAAGCATATGTGTGTGTAAGTGTATGTCTCTGTTGGTGTGTGTGTGTGTCCTTAACCAACTTGGACAAACTCCAAGTCTCCTGGTGCTGCTTTAAAACAAAGCAATGCTCCTGTGTTATGTGATCTCCAGCCAGTGGCTCACTCTAATCTCCAGGATTTTTAAAAGAGAGAGAATCCTAACTCCCAGGATCCTCTGAGAAGCAATAGCAATAAACTCCTTGATTGCAGTGTGTGTGTTTCCATCTGTGGCTGTGTGTGTGGATATGTGTGCGTGGCCAGGGGAAGGTCTTGACTCCAGAGTGACCATAGTGACGGAGGTCAAGGCAACTCACCATGTTCTGAGGCCCCAAAAAGGAAAGCAGTGGTCAGCAGTTGTGGTTTTGGTCTGAACTATTTTTAAAGTTAAAAAACAAACAAACAAACAAACACATGACCAACGGAAACTCATTGCCATTGAGTAGATAGGTCAGATTTAGATAAAGCTGGAGCCCAGAGCTGAGGACGTGTGAGCATGGGACCCTGTGAGGTCCCATGATGTCACTGCACTAACCACAGTGCAGCCATCACTCCCACTGTGCAGAGGACACCCTTTTTCAGCTACCTGGCCTCAAGCATCTTTGCGGTGATACTGTGAAGTCTGGTGTATTGTTCTCATCACAGATGGTCACTTGCCCAAGCCCACTTCAGCAGGGGTAATGCAGCTGGGGTTCAGACCAAGCCCTTCTGCCCTAGAACCCATGCTGTCTGCACATCTCTGCCCAGCAACTCCCGTTCTGTCCCCGAGTGCCTTGTCTCTAGTTGGGTGCTTTAAAGGGAACGCGGAGTCGACCGTTGGCTTGCTTAAACACCAATTTTCCATGGTGAAAAAATGTTTCCTTCAGAAAGATCAATTTAAACAAAATGCTTTAAGAGAAAGAAAAGTTCTCTAAGCCATCTTGTAATATCAATGTGACCCACGCGTTTAACCACTTGCTCACCAGATCAGGATCCCTGGCTTTTTATAGCTGAAGAAAATATTGAAACTGTCAGAGGGGGCCCCATCCTGACTCTCACATGTCCTCTCTGCCTGCCTGCAGGACCTTCTGCACTTTGCCATTCAGAACATGGAGTTTTGAGCTTGAATATTTTGAGTATGTGTATATTTTCTCTGTGTGTGTGTTTTTTTAAATTTAAAGTACATCCAGTGGTTCTCAGAAAAGCTGCCCTGTTCATTGTTAGAAAAATAAACAGGAACTCAACAGTAGGCCAAATCATATTGACCCTTGTTCCTTGGGTCATTGAATTCCAGGCCTTGGCCTGGCTGAGTAGATTACTTTGATTGTTGCTGCTTCTCAGAGGATCCTGGGAGTTAGAATTCTCTCTCTTTTAAAAATGCTTGAGATCAGAGTGAGCCATTGGCTAGAGATCGTGTAGCAAAGGAGCCTTGCTTTGTTTTAAAGCAGAACCAGGAGACTCAAGAGTTTGTCTAAGCAATTAAGGACAGAAAATCATGTATATATCCCAGCAGTTTCTGGAGTCTATAGACCAAGTTGCCAAGCCTGTGAGAAGCCCAGAGCCATTACAAAAGCTTCTCTGATACCAGTTTCACAGCGGCCATGTCTGGGATCCCCCAATTCCATGCACTTGTGTTTTTCCTTGCCTCTGGCTGAGATTCTGACTGTCCAGCTTTGCCTCTGACCCCAGGCGCAGGTCCCTTCTTGAGCTTGACAATTAACAGAGATCATTGTAACAACAGTGTCACCACCTTTCATCAGGAACCTACCAGGTGTATGAAAGGTCACTTCACAGTGGCTAAGTGTTTGGCCACTGGGGTCAGATCCCAGCTCTGCCTCCTACATAACTGTTAAATGGGACAGTACGAGCAACTGACTTACACAGTTGCTGTGAGGATCCAATGAGTTAAAATACAGAACCTCTTGAGTGAGTTTGTCGAAGTCCTCGATCCGCAGTGGTTGCTGTTATTATTGTGAGTGGCAGTAGCATGGGGAAGAGCAGTGGCCCTGGTGTCGCCACCACTGCCTCCCCTGGATATCCGTGAGCCTTCAGTGCGCAGCCAGTGTCTGAGCTATGGATCCATAGAGGATGTGCCCTGGAATTGCACCCTGGTCAAGACCCCACTCAGCTCACTTGTTCCTCCCAGGGCAGATGACCCAATTCTACCAATAATCTAGGCAGAGATGAACTTCCTGGAACCTAGCTCCTACTACTTACATCGTTAGAAAAAAGAAACCTGTTGTTTTAACAGAGAGTACGCTGAGTTTGATGAAGCAGTTTACCCTTACAAAGATTGTGTTTTCATTACCTCCTAGGCGGGCTTCTATTCTAAAGTCCAACTCGACCTTAATGGAGCCAAGAAAGCTTGCTATTTAAGGAGCCCCCTTGGGGGTGATGGTGGGAGACGGTTCTATCTTTGCAGAGTTCTCTTCCCAGAGGACTTTGCCGATCTCTGATCCTGTTAAAGAACCATCAGCCTGTTGCCTGTATATACAAATTCATCTGCACAGCCAAGACCGAAGGTTCCCTTGTGTAGCACCCCCTCACTTCACAGGTTAGGAAACGGAGGCCAAGGGAGACACCTGTTCAATACCACACTGCATGCTGATATGCTGTTGACCAGTCATGACCTCTGCACTGTGTGCATCCCCAGAACAGGTCCTGGGACCCCCAAGGTTGGAGGAAAGTTGCACAGCGCCAATGTGGCACTGAGGTCTCCAAGTAAGCAGGAGCAAGAGATGCTCTGGACCATCAGCCCTGAGCCTGCTTTCTCTTCCAGGGAGGCTCCGCACTTTCCCCGGCCGCCATCATCAGCCATGAGAGGGCCCAGCAGCAGGCAGTTGCTTTGGCAAAGGAGGTCAGCTGCCCCATGTCATCCAGCCAAGAAGTGGTGTCCTGCCTCCGCCAGAAGCCTGCCAATGTCCTCAATGATGCCCAGACCAAGGTGAGCACTTAAGTACAAGTTGGGAAGGGACATTCCCTGGTCTTTTACAAATAGAAAACGAAGACCTAGAAAGGAGGTGTGACCCACCCCAGCCATAGCACACATGAGGCCGACCACCAGCGGGAGCTGGAACTCGCATTCCCTACCCCCAGAGCTGGGCACGTGCCACAGTCTGCAGCAGTTCAAACATGGGGACTGAGGGTAGACAGTCTGCAATTTGTTTTTCTTATTTATAATATGGGAATAGTCATACATACCTCATAGAGTAGGAGGAGAAAATGAAGTAACACATATGAAAGGTTTTGGCCCATGCCAGGACCATGGTGGGCAGGGAACCAAACCGTTAACAGGTCACAGCTACGTGTATTGAGCATTGCAGACATGGCTTCACAGCTGGCAGTGGGTTTGAGCCACTTCACTCCCTTAGATGGGACAGCTGTGTGTTCCCTTTCTGGCCTGCAAAGTTCTTGCTTGCCAACCAAGCCTCTGGCTGGCGCTCGCATTAATGGAGGGAACACTAGCAGGAATAATTGTTGTTATTGTAATTGATGGCCTGACCATCTTAGCAGTGAGTCTGGACTCACAGAATTGGAGCAGGTCTTATCCTCAGCTCCCCTAAATGCAGGCTAATTTGATCACAACCGAAGCTGGTTAATGTCAGCTGTTAGAGTCACTGCCTCCTCTTCAACCACTGTCCCCTCTTGCCTTCTTCACCCACCTACAGGGTCAGGCTTACCCATCCCTCCCTGGGGATCTGCTGTGACCTCTGGGATGCTCCCCTGGAGACCATCATTGCTAAGAGTGAGATTCATTCACCTTCCAGCCCCTGACTTTGTCACATGGTGTCCTGCCTGCCAGTTGTCCTGGTCATTTTTTCCCAGTAGAGTCCCTGATGGATAACCAGCATTAGCATTCAGTATGGTTAAGACCTCATTATCCAAAGCAATGCAACTGATTATTCTAGGACAACTGATTATTGTTGCATCCAATGCAGCTCCTGGCCGTGAGTGGCCCTTTCCACTACTGGAGTCCTGTGGTCGATGGCCAGTTCCTCCGGGAAGCTCCAGCTAGAGCTCTGAAGAGGACTTTACAGGTAGAGGTCGATCTGCTCATCGGGAGCTCTCAGGATGACGGGCTCATCAACAGAGCAAAGGCTGTGAAGGTAGGCAGGGAAGGGGCCTTGGACATCTCCAGCCTGGCATTTCCTAAGGGTTCTGGACCTCAGTGTCTGACTTGATCAAGAGATATTGACCAATTGCTGAATAACTGCTGTGTGCCATGCCTATGTGAGTTTAGGAGGTGGTAATGGGGTGATTCAGAAATCAGACACTTGCAGGGTAGTGAGCAACACAGGCACATCCACAAATTACAGCTGTCAACAAGTCACTGTGAAAAACTGGAGCTGTCCCAGAAGCTCTGCAGCCCAGGGCTCCAAGTTAGAAGACACGTCTGGGCCATGCTACCTGTTTCATGAAGGATGCTTGTCATACTGAGAACTGAGAGGTCAGGAGGCAGGGGGGTGAAGGGACTCTTATTAAATCATCACACTTTCCCAATCCTGAAAAACACACCAAAGCACCAGGCTTCCAAGTTACATTTCTTAGTAAAGAGAGCATGCACAATGCACCTGGCAAACGTGCAGTTTTGTACGGCTTGCTGGAGGCACAGAGAAGTGGGAGTGAGCTGTGAAGTCTGCAGCCTGCTTGAATGCACAGCTCCTGCTCTCACCAGCAGTCACAGCCTCTCGCTAGGATGTGGCTAACTCTGGAAGAGACTGAGCACATGCTTCTCTGCCTGCCCCTCCCTGCCTTGGACATGCTACTCTTGACCAAAGCCTTGTAAGTGGTCAGACCTGAGGCGGGGAAGCCCCATGTGCATGAGGCACAGAGAGAGGACCACTCTAGGCATGGGTAGAGAGCACCCTCCCTGCACACGCATGACGCGGGTCTCTGTTGGCTCTGTTGAATATAAGGCAGCGTAACTCAGATTTTATTAAATTGTGAAAGCAAGCAACAGGATCCTGAGTTCCTTTGGATAATACTATTTCCTTTGGGTAATATGTTTCACCTTGGGGACTCTATCCTACGGTAATAAAAGTTCCAGCCTTACATGATATATATACAAGAGTATTTATCACAGCATTGATTATTGTGGCAAAAAGTTGGAAGCAACTCAAATGTCCATTAACATGGAAATAGTTGACTAAATTAAGATACAAACAATTAAATATTATACAGATGTTAAAAAGAGTGAGCTAGATTTATCTCTGCTGGCTCAAGGGATACCTGTGACACATGACAAAAAAGATGCAGAGGAATATGAAATTAAGATAGCATTCATATTTTTAAAAACCAAGCTGTACATATCTTTATATTTATAAATGTGTATATTTGTATATTTTCTGCATAGAAGGATAACGGAGTGAAAAGATTCACAACATGCGATTAACATTGGCTACCTCTGGAGGTGTAGAGATGTGAGAAAGAATATTATGAATTATTACTATTGTTGTATATATATATAGACATGCATAATATGTTACATATTATATACATTTATGTGTACATGTATATAGAGAGAAAGAGAGAGAAAGAAGCAGGGCTTGTGAGGCTAGAATATGAAGTTGATTTCTGAAGGTTCCCATCTGAAAGGTGGGTGTGGCATGTGAGCAGTGATAGAGTCCTCTCTGAGGGTGTGTGTGTGTGAGTGTGTGAGTATGTGTTTGTTGCAAGGGGATGGTGTCAAGTGGAGCTTAGTCACCCTCAGCTTTCATTTGGCTAACTCACAGCCAAGGCGAAATACCATTTGTACTTAGTCCATTTCAACATTTTTCTGCCAAGCACGCGTATACAGCACAGCCCTCACCCCGAGGGGCTGTGACTTTATTATTGGACAAGACAACCATTCAGGAAGGACTGAAAGGGGCCACTCTCCTCCACTGTCTCATAGTTGGTAGTCTCTAAAATAGAGGCCTTCAAGTTGCTTCTGGTCAAGCCCCTCATCAGTTAGGAAATAGTAAGTTTAGTTATTTAAGTATAAATTAGATACATGTGTACTCCTGTACTAATACTCTGAATTATTATAAACCCTTTATTGAAACAAAAGAATGTTAAAGCATGAGAAAGAAATGGAAGTTCTAATCTTAGTATTCCCTGGCTGCCCCTAAACACTCTCTGCCCTGGAGACAGTCCTCTGAAGCATGGGCAGACTGGGATGGAGCTGGCCACTGACCAGGGACTCTTTCCCACTCACCTCCCTATCTTACAGTGTCCTACGGGGGAGGCACAGTGTCTGTGCAGAAGACACTGTGTTCTCACAGTTCTGGTTCTTTGGACCATGCACTGAAAACTTACCATGGCCATCTTTGACTTTTGAAAGAGGAAGAACTACTTTTATATTTCCAGGAGCCTTGGGATAGGCCTAGAAAGGGCTGATGGGGCTAGGGAGGAGGGAGGCCCTGTGATTAGTTCCCAGACCTCTCCCAAGGCAGTAGAAATCCAGTCCATCAGGGACGGTGAGGGTGGTGGTTCTTATTGGCAGATCTGGGACCGTGGTGTCCAGAGGTTAGCCCAGGCTCATGTTTTCTGATTATGCTTGTTCATTGTGAGAGGGATGACTGACTGTACTTGTGGCTGCCTTGGGCTTCCCTGGTTTAAGCACGGTCTCAGGAATATCTGGAAGTGTCCTAACTTTGTCCTGAATTCCTTAACCAGTCCACCCAGCGACCTGAATCCAGAGGACTGGGATCTCTACTCAACGATGCATTTGCGTTCTTCTCATTGAGTTTATCTCTAAGGTTTTTAAAGAAAGCTTACTTTGTTCACTTGCAAAGAAAGATGGGTCTACTAGCAGGATACTCACTGCCAAATAGGGGCCTGGCTGGGGAGACCAGCAGTGAAGTCAGGCATCCCCAGATAGAGAAACCCCTCTGAGGGCACAGCAGAGCAATTCCTAGCCCTACTCCATGGCAGTCATCCCAGACACCAGCCACAGGGCAGTGTTTCCCAAGCTCATTTATTCATTGGTTAGACCGTCCCTTTCTGGCTTTACTTCTTGATTCATTCCCTTGTGACATGCATTAGTGCAGCCACTGAGCAGCTTTTGTGAGCCTGCCTCCTGCTGAGAACTCATCTAGGTGCTGACTGGTGAGGAGGACTACCTGCAGGAGGAGAGTGTTGATGGGGGATTAGAAGCCAGCTCACAGCTCAGTGCCACTGCACGTGGACATCTACTAAACATGTGTTTGTGCCCAAATTTATTCCTCCTGGACTTTTCCCTTCAACTCTGAACTGGTTTAGCCAATGTCCACTTGACATCTTCACTTATATGTCTCATAGTGTCTCATCAATAACACAGCCAAAGTGGACTGCTGATTCCACCTCTGCTCCCATCCCCAATCAGCATGTTCTGTAGTCATCGCCATCTTAGCAAACAGCTCAGCAACTAAACAACTCATCCTTCTGTACTCAGGCTCAAAACCACAAGTCATTCCTGACGCTGCTGTCTCATATCCTACCAGCATTCTATCAGCAAATCCACCTGATCCAGCCATTTTCTTTGGGATTTTTGTGGTAGCCCCCAACTCTCTCTCTCTGCACCTGTCTTGCCTCTTATAATCTATGAGAAGCACAGAAGACAGAGCAATCCCTTTATAAGTCAGACCATTTTACTCCTGTACTCCGAGCCTTCTTTCCAGTGGCCTTTTCTCATGCAAAGGAAAATCCAGTCTTCCATTAACTGCCGGAGCCTGTTTGATGTTACTCCTGTTAGCTCTCTGACCTTACCTCCTGCTGTTCCCCCCGCCTCACTGTGGTTTTCCCCTTTAGAGTTTCTCAAATAGGCTGAGCATATCCCACATCAGCATCCTGGTATTTGTTGTTTCCTCTTCTGGAATGTTCTTCCCCTAGGTAACTCACTGCCTTACTTCCTTCAGGGTTTGCTTCTCAGAGGGACCTTGCTTGACTACTTGAATTGGGAGGGAAGCCATATCCCTAGCCTTCTCTATCCCCACATCCCACACCCCACCACAGCACTCATATCTCTTGACATATTGTGTATTTGTCTATTATCTTTCTTTCCCAACTAGAATGTTTGAAACTGCTATATCTCTGGTGCCTAGAAATGTGTCCAGTTCTGCTAGACACATTGCACACAACAGGCACACAGTAAACATTCACTGGGATGAATGAATGAAAATATGAAGAACTGACTATATGCTGGGCCCTAATCCAAAAGTCTTCAATGAAATAGTTTACCCTCACAACTACAAGGTGGGGATTATTATTACTATCTTTCAGAGAAAAACCAGAATTCAAACCGAGGTTCCATCTGCCTCTAAAGCCATCCTTTTTCCATGACAGCACTCTGGGAAAAGCCAGGCCTTCCTCCAAAAGCCTTCCATCTAACATCAACAGTAGGCTGGGTACTGAAATGTTTGCAAACCCAGATAGAATAAGGGCTACTATGTGCAAAAGGCTTTGCAATTTTACCACATTCTTTTTTTTTTCTGTAGTAGTCATTTATTGATTTATTTATAATTTTAAAATTTTAGTAACCTTAGGGGTTATCCTAAGTGAAGTAACTCAGGCTCTTACTTTACTTTATCTCAGTCATACGGCTGTGAGGTAGGGAACCATGAACCAGGATTTAACACCTTCATTTTTTCTGAGGAAGAAAGGCTTAGTGAGGTTTACCAGTTTCTAGGTCAGCTAACTAGTCCTTTGCAAAGCCAAGTCTCCACTGCAGGTCTCTGACCCCAAATGGAGCAGGGGGTCTCTACCCATGACCCCATCTGTGCTAAACACAAGAACAGGTATGTGTTAGCACCACCTTACCCCTACCATATGCAAGCATTGCTCAGAGAGATCCTCAGGATTCTGCCCCATGCAGAACTGCAAGAAGGTACAGTGGATGCCTAAGTGGAAACTGAGCTACGAGCTATGCTCCCACCCTCCCAATAGTGAGGAAGCTCCTTCTGGAATTCATCCCAATGTGCCCTTTGGTTACCCTCCCTTGCCTCAGCCTGCTCCCAACCTGAATTTAGAGTTGGGTTTGTGCATTTCTGTTCTCCCCACAGAAGGCTCCGTGGCACCCGGGTCCAACCACCATCAGCCAAGAAGGACCTGAAGATGGCAGGTTCCAGAGGGCCTCAATCCCAACAATGCCTTTTACTCCATCCTCTGTCCTTTGATACCCACCCAGCTCCTCCTCCCCCTTCTAGGGCTGAGAAACAGGACATATCAATTGCAGTAAATTGCCACATCCACCTAAACAGGGTGTCCAGCATGTTTCTGTAATACCAACACCTGTTTGTTTGGTCATGCAATATTTACAAGGTCACTTGCTAGCTGCCAGATGCTAGACCAGGTGTTTCAGCATAAAATACAAATTGAATTCCTCCCCTAAAAAGGGCTTGCAGTCAGGTGAAAATAAATAAGGCAAACAATGGAAACACCATTGATACATACAATAAGGAGAGATGGACGTCTATTCCAAGACCTCAGGAGGTGGGGATCAGGTACCGCTGGGCCCCATAGCAGCACTGTCAGCTGGAGTGACACAATAGCCAGGAACTGACCAGGACCCTGCTCTCTGGGTCATCTGTCAACAGAGCAGGGAGAGTGTCTTGGGTCCTTGGGTTGCAATCACAAGCATCCAAGTTACCCAGAGCCTGAGCCTCAGTTTCCCTATGTATGTGATTGGGAGATAATTAGTAAATATTCTCATAAAGATGTTCAAGAATTCAAATATACACCAATATCTGGAAAATAGTTTGGCTTCAATAAATGTTCATTTTTTCATTTAATTTTTTAATTTTAATATTAAGATTAGTGTCCAAAGTTGTTGCCCCTTCTTCAGATAGTTATCCACAGAAAGCAGGAACACAGAGAATGTCCAACCTCTGAACCACCTCAGCTGACCTGAGACAGATTTTCCAAATGGTAGTAAACACGAACGCATGCTCTCTCCTCACGCCAGCGCTGCATAAGTATCAGCCAGATTCCAGTCCACAAACACGCAATGCAGCTTCCCAGGGAAGTCATGGAGGGACAGGAGTGGAGCCTCCTGCCCCAAGTCCTGCCCTCTGGAGCCACCCACCGCCTCAGCAGAGACCCACCCATTTCCCTCCGGCCAAAGACAGAGGGTGGGTAGGGGCTCCATCAAGTTCCCCTGAGCGCCCTCCACACATACCACCCCAGGCCACCTATGGCCCACCCGAGGAGTCCTAATGACACCCAGCAAAGTTAGCAACCTACCAGTGGGGCATCAGGGCTGCCTGAGATGTTCTCCATTCGCGGCAAATGATCTTATTTTCTGAAGTAGCAGCTTTCTATTGAAATTCTTCATCAGTCGCTGTCATGGGGAATTTCCCCCCCTTTCCTTTCTCTTTCTAACTGGTGAAATTGACAGTCTGCCTACATTAACCAGGCATTCATTTGCATGATCAAAAGCAGATTTGTTCCAAGATGCAATGTTCTGCCTTCCCTTCCAAGCACAGGCATCTCCAAGGAAGGCGAGAAAAATCAGAACCAGAGCTCCTCCGCCGTGCCCCTGTGCTTGGCCACAAGTTGGCCTTGTCTGGGAGCAGGTGGAGTGGGGGCCCTGTGGGGAGGAGTTGGGGGAGGGCAGCTCATGTGAGAGTTGGAGAGCAGCACCTGGCAGCCAAGGCGCTGGCACGAGCCCCGGCACAGGAATATCCAGCCTTTGGTGACAGATTATAGTAAGAGAAGCATGCAGGAGTTTCCAGCGTGTGTGCAATTTCCTGAAAGGAGGCACTGCTGCCTTAAATCCCCAGCACTCAGGGCTGGGTGGGTGTTAGGGTCTGAACCCAGAGCATCGCGAGGACCTGGATTCAGGAAAATGGGTCACAATTCTTAGTTTTAACCACACCATTTAGGAGAGTTGCTGAACTAGTCTGAGCTGCAGTTTCTTTAGCCTTTGAATGGACACAGTGAGACCCTCCCGAACTTCTGTCTCCTGCAGTGTTAGAAGAAGCAAAAGAGGTGTCTCCCAACACCCAGAGAGCGCTGGAGGTCTCATGGCTCTAGGCTGCCCTCACACACTCTAAACCCTCCACCCTGGAGCTGTAACCCCACATTACCCCTCACGGCTGACACTTGCACATCACTTTGTCTAATTCTCCCCAGTGGCCTGTGAGCTGGGATTACCGTTCAGAGAAAGCTGAGGATCAGAAAGATTGACTTGTCCTCCCCAAAATATTAAAAATTGTATTTCATGACTGCATTGGTATAAAGATGAATGTAAACCAGGCTAGATTCATTATTACATTTTCTTTTTTTTTTCCGCATTAATTGACTCTTTTTATTAACTGACTTTTTTTTTTTAATTGTACTTTAGGATCTGGGGTACATGTGCAGATCATGCAGGGTTGTTGCATAGATACACACATGGCAAGGTGCTTTGCTGCCTCCATCCCCCATCATCTGTATCTGGCATTTCTCCCCACGTTATCTTTCCCCACCCCCTGCTGTCCCTCCCTCACCCCCTGAACTGACCTGAGTGTGTGATGCTCCCCTCCCTGTGTCCATGTATTCTCTTTGTTCAACACCCGCCTATGAGTGAGATATTTTTTTCTTCTGATTTCAAAATAAATTAAAAGGAAAATACTTTCATGAGTTCCTAAAAGTGCAGTGAGCCCTCGGTCCTGAGCCAGCTGTGCTTGATGGAGAAGTCAGGCCTTGTCCCTGAGCACCACGGTGGGTGGTGAAGCCAGGAGTCACTCAACCATTAGCCCCTGCAGCATCTCTCCAACACAGACTATTCAGAGGCTCCCATGTGCTGGACTCTCTTCTAGGCTTTAGTGGGAAAAGTTGTAACCCAAACAGATACAGCCCCTGACTTGGAGAGTTCATTTTCTCATGAAAGGACACAGACGATGTAAATGAATAAAGAATTTCGGATCTTAGACATGCCCTGAAGAACACTGAAGTGGGGCCATTGTAGAGGAGGTGACAGAATGGGGAAAATACTTTAGGGGCAGTCAGGGAAGGCTTTTCAGAGGAGGTGACTTCTGGACTGATGCCTGAGCAATGAGGAGCCAGCTATTTGGATCGAGGTACAGAGCTGCTGCAAAGACCCTGGGGCAGGAATGGCCCTGGCTGTTTGGAGGTCACAGGGAGGTCAGTGCTAGGAGACCCTGTGGCCGGTTGGAGGACCTGGAGGAGAGGAAGTCAGAGGTATGCAGAAGACCAGTTATGAGATACTGCAGGCTATCAGAAAAGTGGCTTTATTCTCCCTGCAGTGGGCAGGTACTGAAATGTTTCAAGCTAATAATAGAAGGTGATTTTGTTGATTCATTTGTTTTAAAAAGGAACATTTCTGGCAGGTATATGGAAAATTAACTTAGGAGATGTGACACAGGAAGTAGAGATCAGATTGGGCTCTGCTGCTGAAGTCCAGGGGATGAGCTGGTAAATTAGAGTTGCGGACACAGTCACAGTTAGAAACGATCAGATTTGGGATACATCTTGCATCAGCAGTTGACCACATGAGTTAGGAGTTCAGTAGAGAGGTCAGAACTATAGATACAGATCTGGAGGAAAACCAGGAAAATGTGATGTCACAAAAGCCAAGAAAAGAAAGCATTTCCAAAAGGAAGCAAAGGTCAAATGTCACAGAGAGTCAAGTGAGATGAGGGCCGAGAGTGGGCTTTTGCAGGTCATGGGAGACCTTGATGACGGCCATTTCAGCGGAGTGAGGTGGGGGGAAGGCTGATTGGAATGGGCTGAGGGAAGAGAGGAAATGAGGACGTGGTCACATTGCTTCCCAAACCCACCCTCCCTCCACTGCGTGATGCATTCCACTGGATGCAAACGGCCACCCAGGATTTGCAGAGCACTTTGCTCATTCACCAGCTGACCCCACTGGCTACACCAAGCTCTGCTCCATGACAGGAACTGTGTCATGTTCATTTGGAATCCTCAGCTTCTGGCCAACACAAGGTTGGTCTTTAATTCATGTTCCTCAAACGAACAAAGGAGTATTGTGTCTCCATCGACCTCAGAGCTCTAGAGAATTCTGGGGCATTCAGTTATTCATTCAGTCATCCATTCAAATAGCCTTGCAAGAAGCGGGTGCTCTTGCAAGCAGGTGCTCTGTGTCTCCTTCTTCCCAAACCTGTGATGTTACAACCATTTTTCAAAAGTTGGAGCATAATCAATAAGCAAAAATTGACTGCAGGCCTCTGTGTACAGTGCATTCCTCCCCCAAGCCCCTGCTAGGAGCAGCATCTCTGCTTCTGCCCCAGCGTGGGTAGAGGAGATGTGCCAAGAACTAGGATAGCAGTAGGGGTGGACTGGAGGTGGGGGCAGGTCTCAGTCAGAAGGAAGATCGTAGGAACAGGAGACAGCAAAATGTAGGGGAAGAGGGGAACAATCACAGGAGCAGTCGGGAAATACCTGTGTTTTAATCAGGTAATTGAGAGCTGGTCTTAGACACTAAGGATAGGAAAATAGGAGGGGAAGGCTCTAGAGGTGAGGAAGAACGCATGTGGATGACAAAGTTAAACTGTGCCTATGTTTGAGGGGCCTGAGAGACTTCCAGATGATGTGAGGCATTTGGATATGAAGGTGTGAGGGTCAAACTGGAGAGAGACGGGAATCTTTAGCTTAACAGGTCATTCTTGAAGGAAGAAGAGGAAATGGCACCATTCCACAAGCATTCATGGACAGAAGGGGAGGAAAAGGGGAAAGGGTGGCAGCTGGGAGCCTTGGCTTTCAAGAGTAGGCAGAGATAGCAGAAGGGGACTCCAGAAATGAGCCTGAGGCATAGCCGACTGGGAGGAGATGAAGAGGTGAGGGGATGGGGTGTCTGCTGGCAGGCCTCTGCAAGGCCATCAGTGACCTTGATGGAGGTTGGCGTAGCCAGATGGCCATAGGGTAAAGAGGCTATAAGACAGCTGGAGACCACCATGTAGGCATGCTCTCAGCATGCACACCAGGCTGGGAGCATCTGGATGAAACAAATGGAGGAGACCCTCCTATTGGGGACCTCCAGGCAGGCACCTTACCTCTAGGTGGGTGTGGAACTCATGGAGAGCCAGGGGGAGGTTTGCCCAGCGAGGGGCTCCAGAGATGTGGGCAGCAAAGACAGCCTCAGAGAGAAGGAGGGCCCTCAGTCCAAGAGGAGGAAGGGCCATTCCTTGGGAAGAGGGCAGTGTGGCCTGCAGAATGCACTGGCCTTGGGGTTTGCAGCAGGAAACAGAGCTGGGGGAAGCACTGCTGAGGGGCCAGTTGGCTCCTTAATGAGACCCTGCAGTGCCTGGGCCAATGCAAGGACACCCAGCCTGTCCTGTCCTGTGCTCCATGCTCTCTGGCAGGTCACATTTGCAAACCACAATGGGAGAGCTCTTCTTCTGGGCCTTGAGTGAAGCAAAAGATAGGGTGAGGCTGTCCCAGCCACCCAGCCCTCTGTTCTCTCTGGCTTCACCCCTGCTCCTCTGCCCTCATCACTCCACTGACCCCACAGGCCTCGCTGCTCCCCCTCACCCAGGTGTCCACATGTCTGACCCCCACCCTCTCCAGTCTGGACTCAGTCATCCTCCACGATGCCTAACCTAGCTCCCCAGGGCACAACTGAGACCCTCACCGGCCAGCACCCCCATCCCCTTTCCGGTTCCCTGCCCTGTGCACTAATCTTGGTCCTTATCACCCCTGGACAGTCCATATCACATAGATGCGCTATATATTGTCAGCATGTCTCACAGAACTAGAAGCCCCATGCAGGTGGAGAAGAGCCTGCTTGTTCACCGACGTGTCCCAAATGCCGGGAGCTGTTCCTGGCACATGCAGGCACTCCATGGATAGCTGTTGAAGGGATGGTACGTTGAAGAGCAAAGACCTGCAGCCATGTGTTCCCATCGTGTCTCTCAGACATCACTAGGCATGAACATAAGGGCATTCTAACCTGCCTTGCTAAGTTTCTTTTCAATCATTTACTAACTAGAGGGGAGAGAGAAGTCATATTTACTATCTCCCATGTGTCAGCCTCTTTATAATCATGAATTCGTTTTATTCTAACATCAATCCCATTTTACTGACCCGAAATGAAGGCACAGTATATCCACTGAACACATTTGTTCATTGGAGGCAAATCATCTGAGGCCACAGAACAGAGCTAGATTGAACCCGGGTCTCTCAAATGCCAAATCTCACATTCAATCCACTGGGCCCCGAGACATTCAGGTTGATGCTGAAGCCCTGTGCGGCCTCTCAGTGTTTCCAAAGGGATCTAACTTTTCGTTAGGATGTGTTCGTGGCCGCACTTTAAAAGCACACACTCAGGACCGGCCAGCTCATGACAGCCCTTTGTGCCATTCCTGCCTGTAACAAATCTACTGTCTAAGGCAGACCCCGCCTGTAATTACAGCTCATGGGAGTCAGCGCATGCAGTCACACAGTGGCCCCCGCCCCCACCTGCTGACTCTAATTAAACTGACAGTGGCATCTGTGCTCAGGTCTCGCCAAGCATGAAGGAATGTGTGTCCCAGGTCATGCTGAAAATGTGCCCCTTCACATTCCCTTGCACCCCACTGGGACTTGGGAATTTGTCTCCCACTATTTGGGAGATAACTTTTGGGTCGTCTCCAAAATATTGACCAGTCAGCAAGGCTGCATCCAATTAGTGTCAGATCCCCACAAAATGTGGAACTCTAATCTCAACCTCATGGAAACATAAACTGGGCCCCGTCCCTCCCGCTACGTGGCTGTGAAGCTGTTCTAGACCATTTTATGCAAGAGGGACTTCTTTTGGCAATGCCCAGGGCTTGGTGTCCCTGCACTCCTAAAAGCTCATTTTGTAAGGAAGTTCCGCAGACCCCATGAAGGAGTTTCCATCCTTGATTGAGGGCAATCATTTTGTAGCAGGGGTTTGGAAAAGGGGTTCCAAGTGTTTGAGCTCAGCCTCAGGGTGGACAAAGCTCCGCTCAG